CAGCCGCCAAAGCTGAGGCACTTCAACAAGCAATTCTGAAGCGATACAACTCAGCTGATGATCTGGAGTACAACCCACTGGATGATGAGCACTGGAGCGGCATGGGGAACCTGCCCTGGAACCCCCGGGTTGGGATGGAGGAGGTGGAGCGCAACACCATTGGGGTACAGAGCACCTCCCCAGGCACGGATGGAATCACAGTGCGGATGCTCAAAGCATGCTGGCAGCATGTGTCCCTCTTTATACAGCAGCTATACAACTGCTGCCTCCGGCTCTGCCACTTCCCACGAGCCTGGAAACTGGCAGAGGTGGCAATGATACCCAAGGTGGGTAAGAGAGATAGAAGCTCAGTCCGCTCCTGGAGGCCCATTGCCCTGCTTTCAGTAATCTCCAAAGGGCTGGAACGCATCATTGCAAGGCGACTGGCCTACACGGCACTCATTCACGGCATAGTCAGCCCACAGCATGGGGGGGCGCTGCCCAGACGATCTGCAATGGACCTGGTAGCTGCTTTCACCCATGAGGTGGAGGCAGCCTTCGCACAAAACAAAGAAGTGTCCATGGTCACAATGGATGTGCAGGGTGCCTTTGATGCTGTGCTGCGCAGGCGGCTGCTTCAGCGGATGGCGCAGCAGGGGTGGCCACGCGAGCTGCTGCAGCTCATTGACAGTTTCCTCACTGAACGCAGAGCTCAGGTCCGGCTGGAGGGGACCACCACAGCAGCACATCAGATGCAATGTGGCACGCCACAGGGGTCTCCTTTGTCACCAATACTGTTCCTTCTGTACCTGGCAGAGCTGCTGTGGCAAAACTCGGAGTTGCGCTTTGGCTATGCGGATGATCTGAACATCTGGCGGGCGACCCACTCACTTGACAACAATGCCACCCTTCTCAGACAAGATATACAGAGTATTCTGAGGTGGGGGGAGATAAACAAGGTGGCCTTCGCACCAGAGAAACTTGAGATGATCCATCTTACAAGAAAGCGACACAATGAGGCACCAGCAGTAGTTGTGTCTGAGGACCTCACTGTTCACCCTGTTACTGCCCCAGCTGGACAGGAGCCAGCACTTCGCTGGCTGGGTGTACACTTCGACAGAAGGCTCACCTGGAGACCACATGTCTCCACCCGGGCAAAGAAGGCAAGGGCCGTGGCCCAGCACATCCGGAGTCTGGGAAAGACCAGAGACGGGCCCCCAGCAGACGCTCTGCGGAAGGCGGTCACCACCTGCGTGGTTCCCTCACTGCTCTATGGCACAGAGGCCTGGTACGGCGGCCGCACGCAGCCAGCAAGGCACACGGGCAGGAGTGGGGAGGTTAGCTCCCGCCTGGGATGGCATGTGGGGACAGTTGAGAAGGTGCTTACTATGGCAGCCAGAGGGGTCCTCCCAGTTTTCCGTACAACGCCCATCGCTACCCTATACCGGGATGCTGGGCTCCCATCAGCAATGGTAGCTCTGGAGGAGGCCAAAATTCGATTCGCGACAAGGCTTCAGGTGGTGGATGAGAAGCACCCACTGGCTTCACGGATAGCACCTCCAATGATCACACGAGGAAGAGGGGCTGGAACCCGGCAGCGCTCAAAGACCAAGATCCAGCGGTTGGGGGCGCTGCTACCTGCAGTCAATAGACCCACACTTGCCATCCCACACTACTCAGAGGGATGCGGGACAGACCCCACAGAGGGTGTAGACAAAAAGAGTGCTGCTCAGGCATTCAAGGAATGGTGGAGAAGTCAACCCTCAACAGATCTATATGTTTTCTCAGATGGATCAGAACGGAACCTTGACAACAGCAGGCAGGTGGGCTATGGCTTCATAGTCTATCAGGGAAATAAACAGCTGGCCAGCTTCTCAGCTGCGCTGAGCCCTATGTCACATGTCTTCGACGCTGAGGCAGTTGGTGCCTGCCGGGCATTGGAGTGCGCCGTGAAGCTCCTACCTTGTGTCACAGAGGACAGCAGCAACCCTCAGATCTGGCTCTGCCTCGACAACACCTCAGTCATCTGGGGCATACGGGGCAGTGCAGCAGCCTCCTCAAACTGGGCCTACAACCGCTGCCATGAGCTCCTCAGACAGCACAATGTCGGCCTGAAATGGGCTCCTGGGCATATGGGGATAGAGGGCAATGAGGAAGCAGACCGCTTGGCTAAGCGGGCAGTCTCATCCACTGCAGCCCCAGCCTATGGTCTCGAGGCCACACCCACAGTCAGTGGGGTCCGCACAGTGGCCAAGCAGCTCAGCCAAGAGGCAAGGCGAAAGTGGTGGAGTGGAGCCTGTGGCAGGCTCTCTGACTGGTACCGGGGCTGGAGTTTCAGCAGGCCGACTGTGGAATACCAAGTGAAGGCCCCTCCGGAGCTCACCATGCCACGGCATGCCCTTCACCGCTGGCTCGCACTCCGCTCCTCTCATGGGGACTTCTCCTGGTACCACAGGCGTTTCCAGCATGCAGATGCGAGGCTCACCTGTGTCTGTGGACACAACAAGAGCCCAGAACATTTGGTGCTCTGTCGACACTCACAGAGGCACTTTCTTCACTGGCCCAAGAGGCCAGCAGCACGGCCACACAACCGGGCGACAGCTGTTGCCTATCTAGGGTCTCTGACCCCTACAGACTTTGTAGAACTGCTGGACTGCACGCAGTTCTACACACGGTACTGCACAAGGTAACGCAGCCGGCTGGCTGCAAACCATCTGACAACCCCCGCAGCAGTTCCACGAGGCCGGCCTGCTGAGTACACCCACGGTAGCTAGTGCAACTGCCAGGGACATCACAGTCTATGCAGACAGTACAGATAGCACAAACTAGGCTCATCTGTCTCAATTAGCTGTGGTGTAATCAGTACAGTCTACGTGTCTGACTCAGCTGATATGGTTTTGACTGCCGGCATTGTATCTACGCGTGCTCTGCTTTGTTTTCCTCTCGTTTGCCCTTGTCTCTATCGGCTCAAATGCTTCTTCTTCCTTCTTTTCTTTGCTCTCTCTGTCATTCTCTGCTCTTTTCCTGTCACAACCTTCTTCAGTGCTCTCTCCTTCATTATTTATCTTGTCTGTCTTTCTTCTGATGTTAGAAGCACAGACAGCTTTCTGATCAACTGAGAGAGGTATCCCTCTCTGCTCACTATAAAGCCTTCCAGGCACGGCAGCGGCGGTCCCCTCAGGGAACCACACTATAGCCCCACCATGAATGGCCATACGTCGGGCCAGAAGTGGATGCGCAGCTCAGAAAAATCCTTTGCAATGAGCTGAGTCTTCTCAAGAGTTGCCACCTGGATTCTGTTTTCTCTCTCTGTGTACATAGAAATCTCTCCAGCGTAGCACGTCTCCATGCCCTTCGGGAGGCTTCTGAAACACGGGCGCTGCCCGTGTTTTCTCCGGGACGTTAAACCTATACATACATACATACATACCATCCTCCTCTGTGCCGCTGCCGAGTAGCAATCGCCTCGGCGCCGTCACATTACACTGACACTGACATTGACACTATTACTCTCTTTCATGTTCAATTCCATCAGCAGCTCTATCATCAACTCTTTAAATTTGCAAATTCATTATCTTTCACTCAAACAAATTTAGATCTCAATCATCATTGAATTCCTCTGCCATTCACTCAAACTTGTATCTGATATCAGTATAAAAGAAAGAAAATAAAGGGGAATAAGAGTAGAGCTTCAAGATCTAAATTTGATTATGCTGTATGTAATAATATTCCTCTTTGTCTAAAGAGTCAGTGTTGACAGAAGTTTCATTCTAATGATGTTAATTAAAGCTAGATCAAATATATTATATATATTACATGAAAACACGCTAATACAGCAGATCTCTCATATAATCCAGTATATTTTGTGTTTTTAATACATCAATATACACGCTAAAAAACGGCGCTAATTGTGCCTCGCGGCCAGATGAGGGGATTAATATAAAGAGAGATTTCCACCGGAGCTGGCTTACAGTAAAGGGTATTAAGTTTGAAACCCCCCCCTCTGACCGCTGAGATTACACTAATCATATAACATTAATATCTATATGCTGCTTTTTGTAAAGATCTTTATATTAATATTTTGTATACCATTCTTCTGCCTCTATAACTGCCTTCACTCAATGAGATATTGTAGCAGAAAGATTATATAGAATGCTATCATCAATTACATTTCATGTCTTTTTAACTGTCTCTATTAAAGCTCTTTTTATAACTACTATATCTGATGCATGCTTCAGCTCTAAATGCAGCTTATACATCTTCTGCTTCAACAGTGCTCAAAGATTCTCTATAGAATTCAAATGTGAAGAATATGAAGGTCAAGACATGATCTCTATATTCATCTCCTTAAGAACCTCTCTAACTATGTGAGTTGTATGAACCCTGGCTCTATCATGCATGAATATATCCCCCTCTCTTACAAATTCAGGTAAAAAGGGCCTTTACACATCCTTTATCACTTTTGAAGCAAGGGGTAAATAGTATGATAAAAGCAGCATTCCAACATAACTGGGTTTGGGTTAGTGATATCTTGGCATCACAGGTGTGACAGGGGGGGGTTTCAAACTTAATACCTGACACTGTATGTAAGAAGCGAGAACTTGTTTGCAGTGTTTGTCTGGAGGGTGAATGGTCGAGAGCCACAATGGAGATCGAGGAAGATGTGACATCTGTTGCAGCGTCAACATCACGGGTGGGGACAAGAATACCACACCCTCCCGCCACCGCCCCCGTGGAAGAGATCGCACAGTGCCTCCTTGGTCCCTGCAACGCCCATGGCCAGGCCAAAAAAGACAAAGGCCAGAGCCGGAGGAGCCTACAGTCAGGGTTCTGCTGCCTTTGTCGTGGCAACACGGCAATCCCGCGCGAATCAACAGGGAGTTAATCATGCATATAATGCCTTCCCCTATATTGGCTTTAGTAAGCCCCTTGCTACTTGCTACAGGACCCCGATATCAAGCTATCTCGCTGACTGCTTACTTGGTTCCCCAGGGAGAGCACCAGATGAGGTTCATCTTACCATGGCCCAGGAAGCTCGCAATACCGAGCGCTATACTAGCCGAAGAAGTAATCTCAATCTACGGTACAATGAAATAAGATTTGTCAGCGCTGGTGATTTGGTACAGGAGAGCCTCGAGGTCCCGAATGCACATGATATAACAAAGGCCCCGAACGTAGACCCACCGAGTACGATGGGCGAGGGAGATCTGGAGTCGGAATGTCGAAAGTGGTTAAATAACACAGTGGAGGTGGAACCGGGCCAGGCCGGAGCAGAGGAGGAGAGAGGAGTAAAAGAGGTTGGAGAAAAAGTCGAAGGATTGCTAGACGCCGACCGGGACTCCAAGGATATATTTTTCATAGATCGCGAGGGAGAGGATCCCGAGGAGAATATGCGAAGTGAAAATTCCACTGTAGCGCTTAACGTGTGCATGACTGCTCTATCAGTTTCCAGTGAAGATGAGGTGGTCTTCACAGGAAGGGGAAACCGATCCCAACGGCCTCCGGCTCACCGCAGCCAGAATCTTAATCCAAGTCGCCAACATGGACCCTCGATCCTGGATGATCCATTCATCCCAGGTTGTGGGGATGATGGAGATGACTATGAATCGGTGAGTTCCGGCCCGGAGTCTGCGTTTAATAGCGAATCGGATCCGGCAATGATCCATACCTCCGAATCAACCTTACTGCATCCAGCCGGGCCCCCCGAATTCATTAACCTCAACGGAAAGGAAAAGCGTTCCCACGCGCGTAAACCAAGAAGACGAAGATCGCGCTGGGATTCTGATGATTCGGAGATCCTGGCTGATTATATCGCGAACATGATGGATGATAACACCAGTGATGAAGGCGAAGATGAAGGCAAAGATGCTGGGATAGGTCAGGTTCACGTTCAGAACCAGAATAAATCTAGCCATTCCAGCACGAAGTCATGGAATTCTGCGGATCTTGAAGACTTGAATGATCTCAGCTCCTCCGATGAACTTCCGGACGAGATTGGACGCATCCTTTCTATGAGGGAAAAGGGCAAAAGTATTCAATACTTGCTTACCGGCGTGGGCCAGAGTGTTGACAAAGCGCGTTGGATTCGAAAGGAGCTTCTTACAATGCCTAGCGCGTCCGAATTGATTCGACGCTTCGAAGAAAACGTCGCTTTGATTGAATCACCGTGCGAGACAGTATCTGAGCCTTCGTCGGAACCTGGCGAAGAAGAAGAAGAAGAAGAAGAAGAAGAAGAAGACGATGATGATGATGATGATGATGATGATGATGATGATGATGAAGATGAAGATGAAGATGAGTTTGATCAAGATTTACATGACGGTATGAAACAAGATTTGAATGATGAGCAGATGGCTCGTCTACTTCAAACTCAAGACTCGTTTGGGTTGGGCACCGATGATTTCTTACTTCTCGATGGGAATGGAGGCTTTGGTGGCTTCAACAATTTCTCCGGACCAAAATTCTCTTACGGGTCATCATTATCCAAACCGAAAAAGCGACGAAACCGAAACGGGCATTTCCCCTCCGCCTCAGCTTTCGCAGACGCCCTCGATAAAGATCCATACGGTGGATTCGACGTTATGGATTTCGATCGTCCAAGCTTAAGGAAGAAACCAAAGGGCCGCCGCCATGCGCATCAATACGACTTCGACCTTTCTGATAGCGACTTGGTGCGTGAACTGCAAGCTTCCTGGGAAAACAACCGAAACAAGAAGAAAGCAAAAAAGCAGGAGCGCGAGGAACTAAGGGCAGAGGGGCTTTTGGGCACAAAATATGGAAAGATAGATATGAAGGCGAAATATACGGAAGGCATGAGCATTGATGATATCAAGCTGGAAATAAGGGCCTTCCTAGCATCCTCTTCCCAGAGGTATGATACCCTCCCCCATCTGTCTTCTATTTGAAAATTACTAACGGGCACTTGCAGCCTTTCATTGCCCCCAATGGACAAACGAAACCGCAAACTCGTCCATGAGATCGCAAACATCCTTTTGCTCAAGTCGATATCGCGCTGTAGCGGCACCTCGCGCTTCCCAATCCTCACCAAGACATCCCGCACACCCACCTTGGATAGCCAAGCAGCCGTCCACCGAGTCGATAGAATCTTCTCCAGTGGGCGCTTCATGCGGCGGATGGATAGACCCTCACGAGGTGACGGTGGTGGCTTTAGGCCGGTGGCCAAGTCCCGTGGTGGTGGCGGTGGTGTGAAAGCTGCTTCGTACATGGATGGCGACGTCGTTGGGGCGTCAGCGCCGGAGATCGGGGCCGGGAATAAAGGCCGCGCGATGCTTGAGAAGATGGGGTGGAGCACCGGGACGGCGTTGGGCGCCGTTAATAATAAGGGAATTTTGCATCCTGTTGTGCATGTGGTGAAGAATTCAAAGGCTGGGTTGGGTTAGGGGATTGTGATTTTTTTTTTTTTTGTCTTGTTGGGGATCCCTTTCACCCTCGTGCTTTTTTGTTGGTATGTTTAGCCTGGTGTCCAGGAGCTTACGGCATATAAAGAACCTTGCGATATTTATTATGGCATTGGATGCGATGGAGTAGACGGTGAGCAATTTGACTAGAAACGGGCGCGGAAAAATATTTAAGCGTTTTGACGCGTTCTTGAACAACATCAACACTCTCCTCATCTCTCCGTGATGCATCTGTAGCAGCACCAATACATGAGCAAGGCTGGTAGTAGGTGCTCAACTTTGGAATAGGAGGGTTCTTTAAAAAGAAAGGCACTGCATATCAAGAGGCTTTGATCAACCGTGGCCCGCCAAATAAAGGGTTGCTATACTCAAAACGCGAACAAGGCAGTAAATCACCATCTACTTGAAGTCAAAAATAAGTCGTAATGGTACGAATGATGTCTCGCGCTATGCACTAAATAAAACACCCAACAAAACCAAAATAATACCCATGCCGATCCGTGGAAAGCGGAAAATCTATGACAAAATCGTGAACCGTTCGTTACATGCCGCCGCATCAGCGCTTTGCGCCCTTCTTGCCGACTGCCCTGCCAGGCTGCTTATTATTAGGTTTAATGGCTGCCACGGACTGAGCATGGTTCAACACCTTGATATGGTTAAACAGTTTGGTGTTTGAAGTGAACGAGCTTTTGCAGGTCGCGCATGTAAACGTCTTGCCCTTCTTCCCTTCATCTTCGGCTGCAGCCGCAGCCGTAGCCGCACGTTTAGCGCGTTTTAGCTTTGCTTTTCCTAGTTTTGGCTGTGTTGGTTCGTCGTCGTCGTCGTCATTATCGTTGATGGATGTTTTTGATACGTCTTCCGTCAGGTCATTTAGGTTGTTGTAATGCGCTGTGTTGGTCGCGCTGGTTGTGTCTGTAGCGAAACGCTTTAGGAGAACCGCTCGCGGCGCGTAATCTTGGTCTGTATCGCTTGCGTTGGTGTAGTCTTCTGCTTCCTCAGGCTCTTGGGTTCGCGTTTGGGGCTCAGCTTCGCTTATGTTTGACTCCGGTATTCTAGGGTGATCCGACAGGTCATCTACATCATTTTCGTGGGCTGGTTCAACGATGTCTTCCAACTCATCTTCTGTGTCTGGGGAAATGGGCTCGGCATTTGCTTGGGCGGAAGTGGCGGTGGATGAAAGGGTTTTTGCGGAATTCTGTATTGAACTAGATGTGCTAACGCCCGTCTCCGTTTCCATTCCCGTGCTCAATTGTTGAATATGTTTATCCTCTGTCCTCATTTCCCAACGAAGCTGCTTGACAGCCTTTATGTGTTTTTTACTCCGCTCATGGGCATCAAACTGCTTCTCGCTCTTAAAGATTTTACGACAGACAACACACTCGAAATAATCCTGTTCAATCTCAGATTCACTGCTGCCGCTGAACATATCTTCCTCTACCTCTTCGCTCCGTGCCCATTCAGGCACCTGGTGGCCCTGCAACTTTGCTTCGTTTGCAGCGCGCGAGCGCGCCGCCTGGGCGGCCGCCGCATCCCGGAGGGATTTTTGCCGCTCTTCTTCGCTCTGCACGGTGGCTTTGAAACGGGGATCTCGCTTCTTCACAAAGGCGACAAGAGACCGGACCGCGTCGTTGAATTCTCGAATGCCCTCGTCTCTGAGTCGTCTGTTTTCCTTCTCCATCAACCTGCGGACCCTTCTATCTGGGGCTTCGGAGTAGCGGTATATATCCTTCCACGAAAACGATTTCTTTGTCGCAAACCCGCTCCATATCGAGTAAAACAGGCGGATGCTGTCATAACCATCATCTTTGTGGCCGAACGAGGGGTAGTCGACGGGTTCCAAGCCGTCCCATTGGCATGCCAGCTCCTCTTCTCGCGCCAGTGTCTCAAAGGTTTCCCGCAGGCCGCCAAAGAAGCCGGATGGTGCATCTGAGAAGTCCATACGAGGGTTGAATTTCATGATGAGCCTCGTTATATCCTCCGCGGTGGTCATCTTGATGTCATGAGAATACTGCGCAGCCGTGGGACCATCGTGGCCGGCCAGGATGGCGTCTCGATGAGAGTCATACCAGGCGCGCTCCTGGGGGTCTGATAAGACCTCATAGGCACCCTGGATCTGGGCGAAGATAGCAGTGGAAGCCTCAACATTGCCGTAGTTTCTATCTGGGTGGTGTTCGAGGGCCTTTTTTTTATAGGCCTTTTTGATCCTGTGCGGGGGTGGAAGATAAGTAATTAGTCTCAGGGTTTACCGGTGCCCTGCTTATGACTTCGCAGCATGCTGATCCCAGCGACTAACGCTATGCATAAGATAGAGCATAATCATAAACAAATTGGAGGATGTAGCATACTCTTCGTCTGTAGCAGTTCGTCCTATACCCAGCAGCTCATAGTAGTCCGTCTTCCTCGTAACATTATCCGCAGCTGGGGCACCACTGTTTCCCCCCGCAGCCGAGGAATGGCTCTGGCCCATGACCTCCCTGACGAAAGGCAGCAAGGGCGACGAGAAATAAAAAAAATCAAAGCGGGAGATTGGCAGTGACTTTGACATACAGTACGATGGTGAACAATTGAATCAAGCCAGAGCCGTGCCCGCAATTTCTTGATTAGTCATCCACATGTGCTCAAAGTGTATGGTATTATTGGTGCAATACGGTAATATATGCACTCTATTAGCGGTATTTTAAGTGTCAGTCGGTCATTACCCTGGGATTACAGCACGTGGAGGGCGTTTCACACCCATTGGAGGGCTTGGCATCCAAGGTTGCTGCCAAATTGCCCAAAACTGTCGGAGTCATCGATATCCGTGACATTCGCCTTCTGCTTGTCTCGCTCATAAACGCCGGCCACGCCCAGGATCCGTTGTCTGTCTGTCGTCTGTCGTCTGTCGCTTGCTAGACACCCCGTCTGAGGCTCGTACCGAGACAATATTTCCAACCACTGCAATGTATATTTGCGCCCTGTCTTTTCCATCCTTCGTCTCTTCCAAGATATCGGGCCGCGCTCCAGCTCTCCGCGCTTCTGAGATGCGACAGCCTTGATGGGGGCGATTTTTCCCGAGAGAGATTAGTTATTAGAGAAACTTAAATAGTTCCCTGTTATTGTTGCACATAGAAAAGTTCCGTTGGAGTTGGTTGAAAAATACCCATTGTCTATCCGCCTAAGCCAGCCCCGGTTATGAAGTTTGCGCATGACTACACGCAGATCCTCAACGCTGAGGATTACCCTTCCCAGTGGGTTCAGTCTGCAATCTCCTACAAGCGCCTCAAGAAATGTATCAAAAAGGTGCGTAAGGAGCTGCTGTCCCTGGGCCTACGCCCGGAGATTCTGAACCTCCTCTGGCACCAGAGTCAAGCGGCAAACGCGGCAGGGTATGATGGTGCTGGTGGTGATAGCCGGCCTTTCGGCTTCCAATACTCTCTGAGCAGTAAGTTTTTGATCGTTTTGAGTTATGATATTGCGCTTTGGGTATGGCTCTTTGACTATTTTTCGCAGAAAGCCCTTTAACGTCGTTCTGGCTGCCGAAATTGACCTTCGTCGTCGACCCCATGGATGGCTCCCCAATTGATGCCTTCGTCTCTCCTGAAACCCTTGAGTTCCTTCAACAACTGAACAAAATTCCGCTTCCGATACCTGCTGCTACTTTGGCTAGACTGGACTCTGAGTTGGGATCGTTTACCCATCATGGTTTCCTGGAAGTGGTTGCTGATGGGGAATTGAGCCTTGACAAACAGGGGGAACCGGTCAAGAAGCTAGATTATGACGCCGAAACAGTGCACTCCGTCGAGATACCGCTCTCCGCTGACTCGGAATTTTTCCATATTCTAAACAAAGAGTTATCCGGCTTGGACGAGCTCCAAGAACGAGAACAAATTGGACTAAGTGAACGGGCTAAGGACTTGCGTCAACAAATCGTTAAGATCACGAAGCCCCAATTCAGAAGATCTCAATCCGCCCTATATGTGTGGCGGGAAATATTCCGACTGTATATAGACATGCAGGTTTTTTTCTGCACCGACGAGCAGGGTTCTGGCCAGAGAGACGCCGAAACTGCCAGCCGGAAACTGGAGAAATTCCAAACAACGTTAAAACAAGGCCGGCAGATCAAAAAGCTTGGAAAGGAGGGCCGTTCCGCGCTTGAGGCCTTTCTGTGCATTAACAATGTTTTGTTGCAAAATCTAAAGTTCCAGGAGATCAATCGCACTGCCCTCACCAAGATCTTGAAAAAGTTTGACAAACGCACCGCTCTCCCAGCTGGGACTATTTTCCCAGAACTCATGGTTGTTGAGACGTTTTTAGCTGAAACTATGGCCAAGGCTGTCTGTTACACGATTTCCGAAGTTGTCCTTACTGTCATACCCCAGCTGGACGACTACCTATGTCCTATCTGTTTTAATATTTCGTTCAAACCTGTGCGACTGCGTTGTAACCATGTTTTCTGCATCCGTTGCTTGGTTGTTATGCAGAGAGCTAAACAGAACAACTGTGCGCTCTGTCGAGAGGGTGTCGTAATGGAGGCTACAGGAGGTATGTTAATATGAATTTTCTCCTTCTCTTTTTTACTTTAGCTCTCGTTCCCACGAGCATTGAAGTCCACGTCCTCCACAATATATAACTGACTTGGTTTGATGAATAGCAAACCTAGACAATGAACTTCTTGCATTCCTAGCGTCCAATTTCCCGAAGGAGACGAGGGCCAAACAAAAGGAAAACGAGCGAGCGGCGACGATCGACCTTTATGGTAATTCTTACGATTCTTGCTCCGTGATGTAGTGTGCTCCCACTGCCCACTTTTACTTCTATTAAATTTTATTTCAGTGATAATTTTAATTATAATTAAACCGACCGGACCCATGATAGGAAGAGGAAGATTTGTCCCGTATTCCAAGGCTTCTCTCTGTGCCACTGGAGAATAGGTAGAGCTGCCATCAACCGGGAGATAAGTATAGGGAGCTTACTCGCTTATTTGTCTTCTGTTGAGCCACAGATAAAAAGCAGGGCTAGAGGAGTTAGGTTGTGGCCATATATTGCGTTCAAGAACGTTTGATTTCAGAACACTACTCCTGCTGTACTATTTGGTTTTCAATGGGTGTATTGGGCTCTAATACTGTACATTCCGTATATATGTTCTGAATGATGGATGGCAGTTGTGAATAACGGTATCATGAATATAATACTCTTAATTTATTAATGTATATGTTTTTTTCTGTATTCGCATTATAAGTCACGTAATTAATTGTTATTCTTATTACATTATTATTCTTTTCTCAAAAAACAAGTCCAACCACTCTGGCAGTCCGCAGGTATGATGCAATCACAACTTTACTCTAAACTCCGAATTACCACTTGGCTCTGGCATTGGCTCAGTTTGAACTGCTCCAACACAATATTGGGGAGGCCTGCTATTTATTAGATTTATCTCCGGGAACAACAATGTCCTTCGCACTCAATCCCAAATCTCGTCCCTTCTGTTGCTTTTTTTGCATGGAAAATTTCTGTTATCATATTACTATCACTTATTTAACCCGTTGAACCCCTCCACCGTACAATCAACGAATAATGGCGCGGGCAACCCCGCCTACCCTTGAAAGCCTCCCAGACGAAGTTCTGCACAGCATCCTTTGCTACTCACCCGCAAGGACGGCACTAGCCCTGGAGCGCACATCTCGCCGTTTCAAAAGCGCAACAAACGTCCCTCTCCTATGGCGCCTGCACTGCCAGAACGATTTCAAATTCTGGGACCAGCGACATGAGCTCGCGCGACGATTGGTTGAGCCTGTCGGCTCCGTGGACTGGAAGGCGCTCTACGCGCTTCGGCGCCGGATTGATATCAGCACAACGCAGATTCTGGATAGCATTGTTAAAAACCAGACAGGGAGGATTGAAAAGACCCATCACATCGTGGAGTTTGGGTATGATGCGAAGGACACGTTGTTGCGGCATGCGAGGGCTGGGGAGGAGTGGGAAGATCATTTAGCAAGACGGTACGGTGGGATTTAAATACTTTTGCTCCCCTTTCCCCCTTCCCCCCTTCTCAGAACCTGGTTATTTACGAAGAAAGGGTATTGATCTGGGTTGCATAAATAGATATCATAGCAACGCTATTCTCGGTTGCCTTCATCGGACAATGGCCATACCGGTATGGAATAAACTGAGAAATAATGAAGATGTCTCGTTGGAGCGCGCTCTGGGGGCGTTTGACATGTTCGTTTTGGAAGATGGACCGGGGGATTTTAACGATGTACGTGGGATGATACCCCGATGCACTCATGCTTTAATCAGGATCAGGGGTTCTAATTAACAATGCTCCATAGATCTCAGATTGTCTTGAGAGTATCGTAACTCATTTGTCGACTGAATGTTTGGAGATCATGGAAGTTAAGCCCACGGAATAGAGCGACAAGGATAGCTAAGTATCTACGAGAGCATGATCTCACGGGTATCGACTCAAGCCGAGAGTATTACAACATTGAGCACAACTTTATAGGTTTGGCGTTAAGGAATCCCGGTCATAATTCTTTACCTCTCATTTCTTCAGCTATATACTGTTACGTTGCACGGCGATTTGATCTTGATGCTCATCCGTGTGGATTTCCATTCCATGTACATGTGATAATTCACCCTGCTGATGGCCACGATATGGATGGCAACCTGCTCGAGGATCCAGGCCAGCCTGGTGATCCCATATACATGGACCCGTTCCGCTCAACGGATGAAACGCGGGTAACTGAACTACAGGAACAACTGAGCTTCCTGGGGGCCTTGACACTGTCGCGGTCGACGTTTTTACGCGAATCCCTCGTGCAGAATATAGTGCTTCGCTGCAGCAAGAATATTATAAACTCAGTCTTTCAAACCCCGCGCATTCGCGACACCTGCCTTGATTCCGCCAGCGTGAAGTACGCCGCACTTTGGTCCTCCATTCTTTTCGCGGAATATGCAAACCACGACGCCCAGTTACCGGGCGTTTTCCCACCGCGGGAGGCTGGCCATGCTCCCATGCGACGGCATCTGCCATCGTTGATGGATAACGTTGCTTCCGATTTTCAATCGGATGTTTACCTCATCGAGGAGTACTTGATACCGCTGTTTGCGGATCTACCGGAGTATGCTCCGCTGCAAGAGAGTGTCCGCGTTCTGCGTGCCGGCGATGAGATCCCGAAACAGGTACGGAGACGCACTCCAGAGCATAAGAATATAAAATATAAGATCGGGCAGGTGTTCCGACATCGTCGTTACGACTATGTTGCTGTTATAACTGGCTGGGACGCCGAGTGCGGAGCTGGGGAGCAGTGGATGCAAAGGATGGGGATCGATCGGTTACGGGCTGGCAGACACCAAAGTTTCTACCATGTTCTGTACGTGGTTGTATTTTTTGTTTATCATATATATATATATATATATATTTATGCGGGATACGAACCGATTTGCTGACATGTTGTTTGTTCTTCCTTTTCAGGGTATGTGACAAAAGTGTACGATACGTGGCGGAGGAAAACATTGAACTGGTTTCATTAGAGATTTCTGAGCTTCCGCCTGCATTTCTGAAGTTGGCCGGTAAGCATTTCAAGAGGTGGGACTCAGAGTCGCGGAGATTCGTTAGCAATATCCGAGACGAATATCCGGATGACTGACCTCGGATCGTGACTGACAGTGGGTGTTTTGGTGTTGTTTTTGTGACTCTTTTTGGAAACCAACGGCAGGTGTTAGAATCGGATTCTTTATTTGTAGTCTGGATTGTGGATATTGCCATTTTCCCTCTCCATTCTCGTTTTCAATTCGAAGATTAAATCTGTGTTTGCTGTGTAAATAAATAGCCTGTTAAATGCCAACCCTACCCATAAATGCCGCCGTCTCTTCTAGCGTTAGCCCTTCCAGCTTCCCTTCCTCCAACTGCATGAGGATAGGAGATTTTTGGAACCTTAGCAATGAAACCAGCCATTCCATGACATATTCCTCGAACCGAATGAAAGGACACTTGTCCAAGATTTCTCCTATAACTGTCTCCCACCCTCTCTCGCCATCACCACCAACCAGAGATGTTTTCACAGAATCCCTCACGGACTCCCATTGAGCAATACGAGCCTTATCATCTTGTTCACAATCTTCATCATGATGATCATCACTCTCGACTTTGTAGGGATAATCCCATGCAAAAGCCTCGTTGGCTGCTTCCTCTATCATCGTGCCGTGTAACAAAATCTCCTCAATCGCAGCAAATAGCATAAACCGGACCGGTAATTCCATCCAGCTGGTGTCTGGTATGTCATGGTGGCACACCATCCCGCAGAGAGACATGCATTCCGGTAAGATATCCAATAGGCTGGCGACGGGGATATTGTCATTGCCGTCTTTGCCAGGGATGCCCATGTGCACGTACATGTCGCGTCGATTTCGCTCTAGATACGCTGAATCATTCATGACCGGCGTGCTTGCGGCTGTACGGCAGATTCTGTGGTCTTCGTTTTGACGTAGCCAATGCTCTGCGCGCTCTCTGTTCCGTTTTTTCTGGGCTTGGAGGGTTTCTTCCGACGGGAGAAATGCGCGGGAGCCATGATGATACCGTCGGCACAGGAGATTTGTTACCGTAAGGATTTGAAGTTTGATTCTCAAGTCTATCGGAAAGCATGAAGTGTTATTATTCTGATTGCTTTTATCGCTCTCATAATTGCTGTTGCGACTGTTATTGTTGAGATGATTGTATCGAAATAATTGCATGCATCCTGGCGACAAAGTAATCAATTAGCTTTCTTTTTGCTCCAACGATTAAACAGCCACACTGGTTGAAACATAAACTCAAATCTGTGTCTATTTTGTATTGAGAACAGAGCTAACCATCAAATATTCCAAGAATACTATCCCCATTTTTATTTGACTGCTCGCCAACCCGCCGTTGTACTATTCGGTCGTCTATCACCGCGATTACCGCTTTATGGAGGAGGTAATCCAACGTCATTAGATCCAACTCTAACTTCAGCTCTGGATCATCTGAGTCGGATGCCATATCTTTTCCCGAATTCTGGGAGGCTGTATGTTCTGTCAATTTTCAAGGAGAGCCCTTGTTTGATTAAATGGTCGTGTGGTGATGCTTCAACGAGGATCGTGCATGGGCCCACGACACACAACCAGAACTGCTTTCGTTTTATGTTGAAGATGAATGAATAAAATAAATAGCTGTGTTGATGGAAGAGTTCACTCTGAGATGATCGAATAATTAAGTTCCAGTTGCCTGCTCTTCCTTGAATCCCCGAAGGCGCCAATAAAGTGTTGTTGTTTAGCGTTTCAGTTTAATTTTCGGCAGCTTTTGGGCCTCCTTTTTCGCTGATGCTCCATCTTCTCCTATGGGATTTGTATTGAACGGAGTTATTTTTGCACTTTAGATGGAGATTTGAAGGCGCTGGTTGAAACGAAGAGATACATACTTCATGACATGTTTCAGAAATGGCAAAATATTGGTTATATCGAACATTATCATGACTGTAGCGACGGACAAAACTTTTAAATGGAATAACTAGTTATTTAATACACAGACTAATGCTTCAAGCATCAGTCAACGAACTGCTATATACGCAAGTAGATCAATACGCCAGTACTTCCTCAACCAGCTTTTCAATCACCTGCTTACGTGCAAGGAGACGCACCCAGGTGTGCACTGCCGGTCCGTAATCGTGTCTTCTGGCCGTTGCGTAGTCCTCATCAGCCCGATGCGACTGTTCCTCTTCGCTGATCATAATTCGTATATTTTTTTGAGCACCGACGAGCTCTTCCCGATAACCTGCCAATTCATCTGATGTGGCAGATTTATACTTGGTTCTGAGATCACTCGGAACATCTGCCCGTTCCACCTCTTCCCGCTCAATATTGATGAATGGATCATGGCCAATACTATTACTGTTTTCATTGATAGTCGCTGCTGTGCCATCCAGATCCGGTAGCGATATGCCAAGTGCAGACAGCTGCTCGTCTATGGTAGCAACGCACCTAAGGTTTGTAGCAAGCTGTGCTCTCAAATCGATCAGAGGGTGG